CTTCATTAATGTTGGAGACTAGGATTTTTTCTTATCCTGGGGATGAAATCACAGAGCACTTTACCACTGAGCTACATCCTCATCCCTTCTTATTGAGACAGGGTCTGGCTAAGTTGCTTAGGGCCTCGCTAAACTGCCCAGGCTGGCCTCAAACTTGTGATCCTTTTGCTTTAGACTCCCAAATTGCTGGGATTACAGGTGTGTGCCACCATACCAGCTAGACCAGGATTTGTATAAAACTAAGAATAAAATAGAATACAAATACCAGAGGGCAGGGAGTGAGGCTATGTATTATTTCAGGATCACATACTGTTTTGTGAAAGTAGTATATACTTGGCCCCAAAGTAAAATTACTTTTTTAAAAATTATTTTTTATTTTTAGGTGATACAATATCTTTATTTTATTTTTATGTGGTGCTGAGGATTGAACCTAGTGCCTCATGCAAGCTAGGCAAGCATTCTATCACTGAGCCACAACCCCAGCCCCAGTAAAATGTACTTTTTACTGGGGCTAGAGATCCAAGCACCAAGGCACCATCCACGCCAGAAACCAGATGATCTTTCTAAAATCCTACTTTGTTAGTCTTCTACTTTGAAACTTTCTATGCTTTTATATTTCTGTTAAGATTAAAAACAAAACAAAACAAAAATCCCGCACATCCATCCAGCTTCTGCCTCCATCTGGTCTCATGTTAGCGGGTTCTCCCGGGGTCACCCCAAGACTTTGAAGGTGTAGTTCCTTCTGTCTGGAATGCTCCCTTCTTGCCTCTTGAATCTGTTAATGCCTTTTAATCCTTTAAGATTCTGATCCAATCAGTAATCCCCGAGGCTCTGGAGGCTGAGGCAGGAAGATTGCAAGTTCAAGGCCAGCCTCAACAACTTAGTGTGGCCCTAAGAAACTCTGTGAGACCCTGTCTCAAAATCAAATATAAGAAGAGCTGGGATTATGGCTCAGTGGGTAAGTGTCCCTGGGTTCACTCCCTAGTACCAAAAGGAAGAAAAAAAAAATCTGCTCCAAAATCACTATCTCCCAGAAACTTCTAATTCCTGGACCAAATCAGGTCTCCAAGTTATCATATACTCTCAATGCACACTGGACTTTTTCTTACAAGCACTCATTATGGCAGCAATTAAAGAGTTACCTGGGGTTGTAGCTCAGTGGTAGAGCACTCTCGTCTGGTGCAGGAGGCACTGGGTTCTATCCTCAGCCCCACATAAAAATAAAATAAAGGTACTGTGTCCACCTACAACTGTGTTTGTGTGTGTGTGTGTGTGTGTGTGTGTGTGTACATATATAAACTTATCTGTTTAATTGCTACCCCTTTCCATAAACAGATTCCTTCTGTATATCTCTGGTACTGGGCAGTTTTGCTTTGCTCATAGGAGGCACTAGGCCAATATTTCTTGAAAAAAAAAATGAGCCTAAAGTAAGAATCATCTTATCTCAGAAACCTTTTGAGGCATCAGTCCTTACTCTGTACAAAAGACTCCTAAATCATCACTGTACCAAGAAGAGCTGCTACTTACAAAGCCCGTGCAATATGCTAGGAATGCAATGCTAAGCAAATGATAGCTCCTTTTGGCCTCAGGTAACCCTTGAGAGAAAGGCATTATTGTACATATTCTTAAAATTGGGGAGATGGAAGATTAGATACATGTTCAAAACCAAATGCAACCACTGTGTGGCAGAGCCAGAATAGAACTCCAGCTACCTAAACACCATACTTGCACTTTAGTACTATATTGCATTTGTCTGGACATCTGACCATCCCTACTAGATTACAACTTTGGAGACTGAAACCAAGGCACACACAAATAGTAGAGCTTTATTAACTACATTTGCTACATGAATGAGAAGAGATTGGAAAAGGAAAGAGTTGAGAGAAGCGCATTTCATGACACCATAAAGTAACCTAGTTGGAGTGTGTTGCAATGTCCCTAGAATTACTGACAACGGTGACATACTATTCCCTCTTGCCTATTCTGTAGATCAACTCTACTAATTCAATTGGCTTCTGTAAGCATTTATTGAGCATCTACTATATTCAAACTCTATGCTGAGAACTGAAGGCAGATGCAAATATGCTCAAAGATAGAAAAATCTGAAGTCAGGCAGAGGGCTTGCCTGTAATCCCAGTGGCTCAGGAGGCTTAGGCAGGAAGACTGCAAGTTCATGGCCAGCCTCAGCAATTCAACAAGATTCTGTCTCAAAAAATAAAAAAAGAGCTGGGGACACAGCTCAGTGGTAAAGCACCCCTGGGTTCAATCCCCAAGACAAATGAAATAAATAAAAAAATGAGTAGAAGGGCTGGGAATGTGGCTCAAGCGGTAGCACGCTTGCCTGGCATGCGCGGGATGGGTTCGATCCTCAACACCACATAAAAATAAAAAATAAAGACATCGTGTCCACCTAAAAGTAAAAAATAAATATTAAAAAAAAATGAGTAGGAAAGTTCTCTTAAATCACAACAGAAATCTCCTCTCCTGGTGGGCAGGAAGGGAAGGTCTACAAGGTCTATTTTTGCCTTTTGGAGTGACAAAGGAGAATAACATTCTTCCCTCTGACAGTCTATAAAATATTCAAGAATATAAAAACTACCTTGTCCTCTCTGTTTTTTCTCTTTTTAGGGCAAACATTTCTGTTTCTTTGACTGGGTCTTATAATAGGATATAAACCTCCTCCTCCTCTTCCTCGATGTACGATGTACTGAAATTTTATCTATCCTTCAAGCCCAAGGTCATTGCCACCATCTACATCACATTCTACTGTTTAAAGGGAGCACTATCTTATTTGCATAAAAAACAAGTGCATATAATATGTCTCTGAGAGGAAGAGCAAAGCAGGAGGGCCCTGGATTCTACCCTAAGCACTGCAAAATAAATAAATAGTGCTCAAGGTAGTCTCAGCTATTTAGGAGGCTAAAGGCAGGAGAATGGCTTAAGCCCAGAAGTATGAGGCCAGCCTGAATTGAGACCCCATCTCAGCAGCAACAACAAAAGCCTAAAAATTACTTAAAATCCCCCAATTCACCCATCCATGGTTTTCAGGGTGCAATCCAACAGAGCTGGTTTTCTCCCTATAGTGAAACATATTGTCTATCTTCAGTTTAGAGTGACAAAGACTCTCCTTGATGAAATGACAGCCAGGCTCCCCTGAACCCTCTTCTAGATTATCTCAGTTTTAGCAACAAGTCTAAGTTGGCTGAGTGAGAATTCTCTCACTCTTGATATAAGATCACATTCACAGTTGATGATCAGTTGCTTATTCTCCACCTTTGATATATAAGTATTTGGTCTGCCTTTAATAAGAATCCTATAGGTCATTTTAGCAAGATTCCCGCCTTTCCAACTCTTGATGTTTCCTCTTGGTAAATTCCTATACGCTGACCCCTTCATCTGCTCATTGACTATAAATCCCCAGCTGTGCTTGCCCCCGTGTTTGAAGATGAGATTGGATCTCTCTCTCCTCCTGCAACAGTCCTATTGCCAAAGAAGTAGCTGACCTGTGTTTAAAGCCATGTTGTACTTTGTGGAAACAGACTAATTCATGTACAGAAAGTATTGATATGAAGTGATCCAAAGGTAATTGCTTTCTTTTTTTTCCTTTTTGTACTGAGGATTGAACCCAGGGGAGTTTCGCTCCTACATCCCCAGTTCTTTTTATTTTTTGAGCTAGAGTCTCACTAACTTGCTGAGGCTAGCCTCAAAATTGCCATCATCCTGCCTCAGCCTGCTGAGTTGCTGGAATTACAGGTGTGGCCCAAAGCGCCTGGCCTCTAGCCTTTCACTATCTCTATTATCATTCTTTTAATTTTATCACATAGCATAGTATATTGCATACACTGATATTATATGCATATCACAGCCTTTATTGCTCCCCTTGGGATTATGTATTTTTTCTTCTTTGTAATCCCTAAAGCGCCTAGCACCCTATGAGGGCATGTCATTTTTGCCCCTTCCTCAGATGGTGCTCACACCCATTACTATTTCTCTAAAAACGTGACATCAATTATGAAAAACGATATTCCAGATATGATCTATTTGGTCAATATGAATCCCTACCTCCTTCCCTACCCCAAAATATGTTCCTATTAAGTCAGTGTAAGACCTGCACAAAACCATGGCAGCCGTATGTATCTCACCCATCTTGGCCTTTCGGTCGGCTACAACGCAGTCTTTTTCAGGAGATCTGTTCTTAAGCCCCCATTCCCGTTCCCGTATTTATTTGTACAATTCTTCATACGCATCCCTGTTAAACTGCTTCTTGGTTTTCTGCCCAAGGCAGTAGCCTGTTGATAGAGGTGTTTTGGAAACACAATTCTATGGTTTGACAGAAGTCTCTTTGATTTTCACTTGGGTGGTAACAGGAAAAGGAGACCAAATACCTTTAAGCCACAGGGTAAAAGGGGCCTCTAGGAGGCTGTCCCTGGCCCTGGTCTCCATGGTGAAGCCACAGGTGCTAATGGAGGTCTGGTGCCTACGTAGTTTGTCCCCTTTTCTCTTTCCAGGGCTCCCTGAGATTTTCCCTCCTACATTGGGTCTCCCAGACAGCGGACCCCCGGGACCGCAGCCCCTCAACATTCGGGTGGCGGTGCCCGCCAAGCCCGCGCTGCCAGACAGCGCCTTCCCCGCGCTCCCGCGACGCTGGGCCCCTAGGCAGGCGCCCCTCCCCCACCGCGAGCACTGTCCCCGGCCCCGCCAGCAGCGCGTGGGCACGGGACCCCGTTCTGGGCCCGGTCCCGGGGGAGAGGGCGGGCTGCCCGGGAGGTTCTCCGCGGGGACTCCGCGCAGGGGCCCGGCCAGAGCGGAACGGGCGGGCTCCGGGCGGCGCTGGCGGGGCGTGGGCAAGGCGCGGGAGGGAGGTCTGCGCCGCCCCAGGACGGGCCTGAGCCGCAGGGAGCTGCGTCCTCCGCGCCCCGCTGGGGGCAGGCTGGACCCCGTGGGAGTCTTGGCGGCGCACAGGGCCCACGATTCGGGGCCGGGGGTGCGTTGGCCCGTACCTGATCTTGAAGTCGCGGTTATAAATGGTTCGCAGCCGCTCGCGATCTGTCTCCATGTCCAGTCCTCGAACGACTAGGAAACTCTCGAAGCACTGGCCCGTCTCCCGGAGCTGCCGGCAGCTGAACTTACTGGGCATCGCGGCGGCGGCTGCGGCCCAGGCAGGAGGGTCCGTGGAAATGAAACTGAAAGTCGCCGCCGCGGCTGGAAGTTGGCGGCCCTACGATGAGGGTGCAGAAAGGGGAAGCCCCCTACCTCTGACCCTCTGCTCCTGCAAGCTCCCTTTCCCCCACCAGGCTTCCCTCTGCCGTTCTTTCCCTACCTGAGCCTTCCCTTCGGTCTCTTCGTCCTATCCCCTCCCCCTCTTCGCATTAACTCTTTCCTAAGGAGTCTGACCCCTCCCTCAGGGCCCTCCCCTTACCCCAAGCTCCCTCCCCTGGCTTCCAGCCAGTATCTGAACGTGGCCATCGCCAAGCGCCCCCGAAACAGCCCAGGAGGACCTCTGAACCTCTGCTAGGGTTACTCCCACGCCCACCCTCCAGAGCCTCAGGACTTATTGAAAAGCAGAAGAGCAAAGAGCAGGGATTGGGACCTGGGTCGGCTGCAGCTGGACTAGGGCAGCTCATCCAGCACCTCCCCCAGACTGGCAGAGACATAAACCAGCACGCCAGCCAAGCGGGCGTCACGCCCCCCTCCCCCATATTCCCTGCTTGGGCTCAGATGCAGGGAGGAAGGCATGAGTCAAAGAAGTTTGGGGTGAAAGAACTAGGAGTCTCTGAGATAAAGGTGCGTATATGTGGGAGAGAGGGACAAGGGGTTCTGCCAAGACGAACAGTCATTTTCTTCACCGCACAGGCTTCATTATGTTGAAAGGCTGGTGATTCTTACCCTTGAGCCACATATTTGGGCACTTAATTACACTCCAGTCTGTATTGCTCTTTAATTGTTAGTAGTATTTAAGTAAGGGTTGCCCCAGTCATCAAAATAAAATTAGGTCCCTGAGAGCAAGGTACTGTTATGTTAGGCAATAAATGGTTAACAGCAACAGCATCAGTACCAGGAAAAGAAACTGTTTAGACGAATAAAGGGGTGGAGCTACCACCAAAACAAATATAACAAGCCTTTTGCGTGTTTATCCTCCAGAAAGAAATAACAGAAACCCACAGTAGGATGGGATAAAGATAATTATATGAAAAATTAAATCAAATATACAAATACATCATAAAGAAGTTCCAAATACATCACAGCTTGTGTTGTTCTCAAGTAGTTCTCCATAGGAGGCCACACAATCTAACCTAGTGTGAAGAAATGTCCAGAATCCAAGTCATTCTCCAGCTGGGCTAACCCTGTACCTTCTTCCAGGCCAACAGTATAGGAAAGCCAATGTCAGTGAGAATCAAAGCTATAAGGATGGGGAAGATTAAGCAGGGGAAAACGTTATGTTGTAGAAATCGATTATGCAAAGTAGAGGAAAAAACTAGGAGCTAGGAGCGCAGCCAAAGATTTTACCCTTTTCCTCCCTCCCCCAACTACCCGATGAAGCCCCAGAGGAGTACAGATGGTGAACAAAAAATTGCTGTTGCTTACCATCTCAAAAACCTAACCTACCATCCACCACACCCAAACCCAAGGTCTTGTCAATTCTGACCAGCAAATCTAAGTCCTCATTATTTTTGAACACATAACCTTCTTTCTCTGGGCAAACCTATCTTCTGGATGTCCTTAAAACAATTGTTTTGTAGTTAAAACGGGTAAAAATTTTGTTACTATGTGGCTTTGTTACAGTGGAACTTTTTAAAAATCAATTTCATCTGGAAAGTCTACTTCAGGTGGAATTGTAATTGTTATTTTCACACAGGGGCTCTAGATGTCTAGAATGGTTTTTGTTAGAGCACAGATCACTCTACTTCAGGTGAAGGAAAACCCCACCCACAAACTAAGTGGCCTCCTTCAGGGTCAAATATTACCTTCTTGAAACTAAAACTGGGGGCTGGGGTTGTGGCTCAGTGGTAGAGCACTTGCCTAGCATGTTCGAGGCACTGGGTTTCATCCCTTGCACCACACAGGCTTCATTCTTTAAAGGCTGGTGATTCTTACCCTTGAGCCACATATTTGGACATTTAATTACACATAAAAATAAAATAAAGGTATTGTGTCCATCTACAACTCAAAAAACAAAAACAAACTAAAACTGGGTATCATCAGATTAAAGGACTTTTTCAATTTTGGAGCATGCACAGAGCACTGAGGGCACTCTCATGTGGAGGATCCCAGGTTCATTGTAATATCATTTACATTGCACAAGCCAATGATAGAGAAACCTCAATAACTGCCACAAATACATAATACTGAGGTGGGAGGTTTTCAGACCAATATAAAAATCCACCACATGGAAAAACCCAGACTACTTCTTTCATTAAGTTTTCACCTTTCACATCCAGCTTCTGCAGAGCCTTCCTTAAATCTATTTGCATTTCAAAGTAGTTAAAGTTTATTTTAGTGAGTCCAAACAGCACTGAAGGCAGTTTGAAAGTTAACTTTGGCGAACATTACTAATGGAGTAAATCTCCCAATAACACTACTTTGCAGGTAGAAGCTTTGTTTTTTCATTACTCGAACTGTTACTTGGGTTGTGTAATTCAGAATTTGAATGTTCTCCAATATTGTTCAAACTATACTCCCTAAGGCAACTAGAAATAGCTCTCTCTTAAACCTAAAATACTGACATTGGTCAGTCTACCACAGACCAAAGGAGAAGCTGCAACAGTTGGGTCTCATTGTTCCAGGATCCTGTATTTACAAATTCATGTATTTAGTAAAATTTATGTGAAACCCAGCCTGGCTCACATCATCTTGCAGTGGTCTTCTGGTCCTTCATGGACATGTAGAGCAGTGGAAAGTTGGCAAGTTCCCAGGACACACGTTCCCAACTGAGGCACAGCACTCTGATGCTCTGCCTTGTTTTAGCCCTCATATTATAAAAAAGTGTCCTTTTCTGCCTTGTTTTAGCCCTCATATTTTAAAAAAGTGTCCTTTTCATGGACAATTTGATGCTGTTTTGCCATTTTGTGCTTTTTGCTGTTTAAAATGGCCCCAAAGGGTAGTGCTGAGTGCTGTTTAGTGTTCCTAAGTACAGGAAGGCTTTCCAGTGAAAATTCCTGATTAGCTTTATTCAGGCACAAGTCATAGTATTCACTCATTCCATGTCCACAGACTTTATAAAATATAACTACTATGAATAATGAGAATCACCTGTATATCCATATACATAACAGAATACTTTTATCTTTGGTACTGTGGATTGAACCCAAGGGAGTTTTAACAGTGAGCTACCTTTCTTGTTCTTTTTTTTTTTTTTTTTTTTACAGATTCTTACTAAATTGCTGAGATTACAGGCATGTACCACTGTGCCCAGCAACAGAATGCTTAAAAAAAAATTTTTTTTTTAGTTGTAGGTGTACACAATATCTTTATTTTTATGTGGTGCTGAGGATCGAACTCAGAGTCTCATATGTGCTAGGTGAGCGCTCTACTGCTAAGCCACAAACCCAGCCCTCCAAACTTTGATTTTCCACAGGGTAGGTTGCTGAACAACTTGAAGGCGGTTATGAGTGTCTGATTCACTTGGTAGTTCTTTTATTCTTTTTTGGTCCCAGGGATTGAACTCAGGGGCACTCTACCACTGAGCCACATTCCCAGCCCTATTTTTAATTTTATTTAGAGACAGGGTCTAACTCAGTTGCCTTGAGCCTCACTTTTGCTGAGGCTGGCTTTGAACTCTCCTGAGCTGCTGGGATTACAGGCATGCACCACTATGCCTGGCTTCAACTTGATAGTTCTATATAGAACTTTAAATTAATAAATTGGCATTCAGATGTATAAATTGGTCTTTTCTGAATTTAGAGAGAATGTGTCAAGGTTTGCCAAGTTATCTCATGAACTTAGATGAGTCTAGCATCTAGAGCTTTGGTTGATTATAAAACAGAACTGGCCCTAGAACTAGGCAAACAACAGAGACAAACACGGAGGCTCAGATGAAACAAATAGCCTTCAGCAGTGTCATTTCAAACCCAGATATAGAGGTGAGGCCTCATAGGAAACTCCTTTATGGGAAGCCTTTGGCCCAGGATACGGTAGGGTGATTTCATCATTGTGTGCTAAAACAGGAACAATTTAAGCAATTATTCTGCTGAAGAAGGTTAAGAAAGTCAGGGGGTCTCTGCAGGAGTTGGCAAGGGGAGTTGATTTCCTAGCATTTACTCAAGCAACCAAGGGTTTTAGATAGCCTGAGATTTCAACTTTTAAAGTCTTTCCGGAATAAGGAAATCAATAAGATAGTTTGGGATAGGCTGACAAGGTTTGTCAAGTTAAAGGTAAGAATGTTTGAACCTGTTTGCATTAGAAGACTGGAATACATTAAATGTCCCTCAAAAAGGTGGGAATTTGAACTGACCTTGGGTGGAAGGTGAAGAAACTCCCTCTGGTTCTCTGTTGGGAAACAGAATAAAAAGCCTTTCCCATAGGTCATCAGTAGCTAAGCCAGACTTGGAGGAGAGGAAAGCAGCATTTAAAATTAAGGCAATGTGAAATATTACCCAAATTCCAGGTGTAGGAATTCTATAATTTCTACTTCCTGCCTAGTGACTGCCATCCATAATGGGTAGAGAAGATAACTTTTTCTTTTGGGCATTAATATAAATCTCAAACAAAACTTTTGACTCGCTGGTAGCTTTTGGGTGGAGAGTGGTCCCTACTTTGCTAACACACACACAACAACAACAAAAAAGCTGTCTTTCCAAGTCTTTGATATTTACTGCATTTATAATAGTTGAACGTAGGGCTCTTCCTGCAAGAAGCCTGAAGTGATCTGTAAGAATGATTCCTTATCTCAGCTGACCTAGAAAACCCTACAAAATCATCCAAGAGATTGAAATCTGCATATTCACTTTAATAATACCATTAAACTGCTCAAACCATCAAGGATATGACTATCCAAAAAGCCATCAAGTATCTGAAAGTTGTCACTTTAAAGATATTCTGGTATTACAGTGGAGTTGGTAGGTGTGCTCAGGCCAAACAGTGGGGCTGGACACAGGGTTGGTGGCCCAAACAGAATGAACTTTTGTTGATATGCTCAGAGATGCAGAAAGTAGCTGGGTCCAGTGGTGCACACCTGTAATCCCAGCAGCTTGGGAGGCTGAGTCAGGAGGATCGTCGAGTTCAAAGCCAGCCTCAACAATTTAGTGAAACCTAAGCAACTCAGTGAGGCCCTGTCTCTAAATAAAATACAAAATATGGCTGGGGATGTGGCTCAGTGGTTGAGTGCTCCTGAGTTCAATCCCTGGCACCCCGCCCCCAATATCCCCAAAATGCAGAAAGTAATGCTGAACTTTAGGTGACGATTCTCTGATCACTGAACAGATCCAGGTGAACAAAGCACCCAACATGAATTGCTGCACACCAGAGTGCATGGTCAGATTAACCTAATCATAAACTTCACTACAGAGATGAAAAGGAACAAACTATTCCTAAATCAAAAGAGGAAGTTGTACAGAAGAAAAACATATCCCAGAAGAAACTAATAGAAAGTTAAAACAAGATCAAATACATTGAATTTCTTACCTTGAGAAGAAAGGTTGAAGAGATGCATCGAAAAGGAGAGAGGCTCAGACACTTTTAGAACAAAATGGGTATATTTCTATTGAACTACCTGATACAGAAGATAGTGTGGTATGGATGGATAGTATGAATGACAAATAATACAAATATATTTTATTTGAAATAAACAAAAATGCTTACACAGCAT